GCGACAGCGCCCGCAGCGGCGGTGGCAGTTTGGGACGGTGCCACCATGCTGCCGGGCACGGAGGGTCCCTCCTTCAACTTCCCGCCCCCCTTGGAGGGTCCCATCACCACCCCAGAGCTGTACCCACTGCTGGGTGCACCCTGCGCCGCAGCACCCACCACACCGACCTTCCCTGGGGCCACCCTGCACCCCCACAGCCATGGGGGTGCCCCTTCCCCAGCGCCCATGGGCACGGAGGGTCCCTCCGCCGCTGCTGCCAGGGCAGAAGGGCCTCTTGCTCCGCCAGATGGATTCGTTCCAGATAACGAGGTATTTGTCGCTCAGGCGCATGCAGAGACGAGGTTTCGGGCGCGGAAATCGCTTTATTTTACACTCGAGGGCTGGGTGGGAGATGGAGGCCTGCTCCCAGCCCCACAGTCACGTACTGGGGGGTTCAGGCTTCGAAACAGGCTTCTCCCTCCTGAATTCTGCTTGAATTTGGCAGGGGGGGAAGAGTTGTGTGGTTTTTTAAGTAGGAGAGGCAAAAGCCTATCGCTGCTCGATGACCTCAGCTATTGTCTCGAACTTTTTTGGCTCGCGAAAGCGCGTTATGGTTGCTCAGATGTAAATCACAGCCCTCAGAAAAACCTCCTCGCTGAAGCCTGGCGGGGTGGTTCCCGTCTTTAAAGCAGAAAATGTATCGGAAAAGAGAGTTCTGTCAAAGAAATTAAGGGCAAATAATTCCTGTCCAGTGCAGTCACTGCCTTCTGTAGCTTTTCAAGCGAGCGGTGAGGTGCTGAGGCCCTGAACGTGCACAGGAAAGGGCTCAAATTCTCCCTGGTGTTTGGGGATTTGCTTTGCTGTGCTGCTGCTGGAGTTTCCCACAGCCCAGCGCTGCTTTGCAGCCATCTGGGTCAGGAGAAAATCGTCAGGAAACAGCAGAAGTTAGTCAATCAGCGCCGAAAATCCCCATTCGGTAGCAATTACTCATCCTTTCGGGCTGCGCCGCCCCTTTGAGAGCGCACGTGGAGGGGCTCGGGGAGGTGATTTCCTATGGGGGGGACAGGTTGGGGCACCCGGTGTGGGCCTTAATGAGGAGGAGGAGCTGTGGGGTTCCTGTTGGCTGGAATTCCCTGCTCTGCTGTGGTGTTGCCTCGCCGGTGGGACCTTTATTTTACGTTTAAGTGTAGCATCTCTGGTTGTTAACCCTGTAAATCAAAGTGTTGGCGGCTCTGGGGCTGCAGCGGGGCTCTGTGGTCAGCACCCGTGGGGTTAAGGAGCGACTGCCTGGAAAATGAGGGAAGCAGAAAGCGAGGAGATGCTTTGGGAAGCAGTTTTGGGAGCGAAGAGGAGGAGGTGTGGTGGAGCACATGTCCTTCTGCTCCCCAAAATGTCTGTCCAGCCGCTTTGCCGGGCAGGACACCTCACTCCGCACCTTCCCCCACCCAGCCGAGGGCGTACATTAAATATTTGCTTGGGAGCTGAGTCACGCTCTGGTTAATGAACTCCAGAGTCTTTCAGGAGCAAAGGAAAACGTGTTCGAGGCGCTCACTCCCTGGGCTGTGATCACCTCTGTGTGGATCCGGGTGTTGCAGGTGTCCGTGGCCTCACAGCCGGGTTTTTGGCCGTGTTCCCTCCCTGCCTGGCTGCTCCCAAGCCCCGCAGTTTGTTTTTGCAGCTCAGACCCAGCCCTGCGTGCCGGACTTATCAGCCCGGTCCTTTTGTGGGGTTGGCAGCTCCCACAGCTGCTCCGGGTATAAACAGCAATGGGGAATCAGTGATTTCGTGTCACCGTTTATTTCTTCTAACCATGGCATTCTTTTCCCCGAGCAAACAGCTCTGGACAACGTCTGCCTTCGCTCCGTGTCCTGGAGCGGCGCCTCCCTGCCCTGGAGTGGCTGAGCCCCGATGGGAAGGGATGGCTTTTGATTTGGGAATGGGGAGAAGAAAGTCAAGGCAGCTCCACTTGCTGGGGCTGGGAGCTTTTTTTGTGTGGGTTTTTTATGTGGATTTGGGGTTTTTTATGTGGATTTGGGGTTTTTTATGTGGATTTGGGGTTTTTTATGTGGATTTGGGGTTTTTTATGTGGATTTGGGTTTTTTTATGTGGATTTGGGGTTTTTTATGTGGATTTGGGGTTTTTTATGTGTTTGGGAAGCAGCAGCATCGTCCCTCGGGACCGGAGGAGGCCACGTTACAGCAGATCCACGGCTCCGATAAAGAGCGCTTATCTCCTTTGCGGAAACAGGATTCTCCCTGCCGCCTCTCTTCACAATGAGGAGCTTCATTCGCTCTGCTCTCCCTTCCCTATCGCATCTTTTTGGGTTTAAAAAGCTTTTCCCCACAGGATTCCCAGGCAGGACCATGCCAAGCATGCGGAGCGGCAAACGACTGGCACATTAATTGCCTATTGCCTTTGTCTTTCGAAATGCAGCTTCTCGTGGCTGCAATTTCGTGGTTAACAAAACTCCTGCGATGTCAGGTCCCTGTTCTCAATGGCATCGCTGTGCGAATTGCCTGGGGTTTCTCCCCAGGAGCGTTATTTCCCGATCCGATGGCTGACCAGAGCTGATGTGCTCGTTTCTTCCCTGATTTGCTCCCCTCCATCTCACTTGGGTGCTGGGAAAAAGAGGAATTTACCCATTTAAAAGCAGAGGATGCTGAGCTGTGCTGAAGGTCAAGGCGATGGAGGCGTTGCACAACTCTCATGAAATCTCTTAAGTGCAAGGCAAGAAGCCGTAGCTCCTGCATCTTCTCTAGAGGAGAAGCCCTGCTGTGTCTGGTGGGTGATGGAGGGGCTGGGAGAGCAGCTCATGGGTTATAAACACCTTTTTTCTCCCACCATTCCCATCCCCAGCTCTTCCAGAAGGAGCAAGTGGATCCTCTCCAGGTAAAACTACAGCAAGTCAATGGAGTTGGGCAAGGACTCATCCAAAGCGCCGGGAAAAACTGTGATGTCCAAGGGCTGGAGCATGACATGGAAGAGATCAACACCCGCTGGAACACCCTCAACAAGAAGGTCAGGGCATGGGGAGGGACTGTAACTGGTTTCTCTTGGCCTCATTGGGGTCTGGGAGAAGAGGGGGGTCATGGATGGGGAGCTGAGGCTGCAATGTTGATGCGTCACCATCCTGACCATGCAGTGGGGCTGTGTTTGGGGTGCAGGTGGCCCAACGGGTTGCTCAGCTGCAGGAGGCCCTGTTGCACTGCGGGAAGTTCCAGGACGCCCTGGAGCCGCTGCTGAGCTGGCTGACGGACACCGAGGAGCTCATCTCCAACCAGAAACCTCCCTCTGCCGAGTACAAGGTGGTGAAGGCCCAGATCCAGGAGCAGAAGGTGAGCGAGGGTTGGCTCGATGGGATGGGAGCTCTGCACTCCCAGATGTTATTTTGGGAGTCCAGCTGCAAGAGATGATGCACAGCAGGGATATCCATGAGCTTTCATGGTGGATCTTCTGATTCCCCACATCCTAAGGCAATAAACAGGCAGCTCGTTGCCCGCGGTCGCGATCTCCATCGCCCGAATCACCAGCGTTACTTTGATTCCCAGTGCCTCTTGAAGTCTGCTGCTGGTTTTGCTGGTCAGCCGTGTTTTTCCAGCCTTGGGTTTTGTTTGCACTGGTAACTCTGCAGCATCAGGGGCAGCTGCCGTTGTAGGTGCTGGTTTGGGTATTTGGAGATAAAGAAATGAGCGTACAGAGTGTGAGGAGCGACCCGAGGCGCGCCGGTGTTTGCAGAGATAACAGCCTGGGTTGGTCGGCGCCTGCCCTCGTGTGAATGCTCAAGTGTGGTTGTGGTAAAACAGTTCAGAGATGAATTCTTACCAAGGCTTGGTCTGATATATTGAGACTTTGAGGAGGAAATGTATTTAAAGTGAGAGTTAAAAGCTTAATCAGTTTTGGGGGGTGATGAGAAAAGTTGTGTGGCACAGAAGTGCTTTGAATCTCTTTTAGAAGAGAATATTTCGGTTGGAAGTGGCCTACAATGACCATCTTAGTCCAACTGCCTGACCACTTCGGGGCTGACCAAAAGTTAAAGCATATTCTATATTATTATTATTTCATTTGAACTGGTTTTGATGGCAGAGGCTGTCCCACTGGGCCGCCTTTGGTCTCAGCCCCATTCCTACGGTGGTTTTCAGCCACAATTAAAGATTTGCTATCTCTGCGAGCTGATCCGATCTGGTAACTTTTTCTCCTCCTTCCTGATGCTAAAGCTGCTCCAGCGCCTCCTGGACGACCGCAAAGCCACGGTTGAGATGATCCAAGCGGAGGGCGGCCGCATCGCGCAGGCGGCCGAGCCCGCTGACCGCGAGAAGATCGTGGGGCAACTGGAGAGCCTGGAGCGGCGCTGGGCAGGGCTGCTGGGCCGGGCGGCCGCCAGGTGAGGGGGGGAGGTCTGTCCCACCACCCGAAAACACAGGGCGAGCTCACCCAGCAATTCATGGTGCCCCGGAGCTCGGGGTTACGCACGTGGGGAGCTGGCGGAGGTGTCTGTGCAGCTACATCCTGGAAACAGCTGGAAAAGATGAGAAATCAAAGCTTGTTTGGGGAGCTGAAGTTGATAGCGGTGGTTTACAATGGCAGGGAAGAGCTCGGATTAAATAAATTCCCTGCAGGGGACGGGTGTTATTTTTATTCCTTTAAGCGTTAGCGTTTAGCTTTAGCGGCAACATCCTGTTGACACCTTTCTGCTGCCTGAATCCCGTTTATGAGTCGCTTGTTGCTACATGAGCTGATATTTGAGGTTGTAAAGTCACTTCTGAGGGCCACGTTTGGCCTCTAAGTGTTTTTAAACCACTGTCAACTGGACAGACCGTCCATCCAGGACTGGTACTGGGGCCGGGCTGGCTTTGAATCTTCCATCACTTCCAGGTGATGGGGGGTAGAACAAGGGGAAACGGCACCAAGCTGTGCCAAGGGAGGTTCAGGTCAGAGATAAGGAGGAAGTTCTGTACTGAGAGGGTCGTCAGAAGCTGGAACAGGCTGCCCAGGGAGGTGGTGGAGTCACCATCCCTGGATGTGTTTCAGGAGCGGGTAGATGAGGTACTTAAGGATATGGTTTAGGGGGTAGACAGGAGCGGTTGGACGTGATGATCTCAGAGGGCTTTTCCAACCGAGCCATTCTGTGATTCTGTGAACAGGAATTCAGCAGCTTTGAGGCACTGAGAGTCCAGCCACAAGCTGAGCACATTGGAAAGCCTCAGAGATAGCGATAGGAATGGAAGAAAGGCAGCACAACGGTGGAGCCGCCTTCCCAGGGGAATAAACCAGACCCCAATGCCACCACTGCAGGGAAAATCTCATTTTGCAGTTTCTCCACGTTGATTTTTGTGTTTGCTGCTTGCTGCAATGTCTCAACTTGCTTTGGTTCCCTCTCCCTGATGCTCCCGGCTGCTTCCCATGCCTTTATCCACCAGGGAGCTGCTCCTCAGTGTTTTATTCCTTCCTTTAGGCAGAAGCAGCTGGAGGACATCCTGGTCCTGGCAAAGCAGTTCCATGAAACCACGGAGCCCGTGGCCGACTGGCTGTCGGTGACCGAGAAGAAGTTGGCCAACTCGGAGCCCATCGGCACCCAGACTGCCAAAATCCAGCAGCAGATCAGTCGGCACAAGGTAGGGCCCCGCTGGTGGAGGTGGTTGGTATCAGGTCCCACTCAAGTGGTTGTTCCTGCCATGGCGAGGGGTTTTTAGGCACTGGAGGAGTTATCCAAGCTGGTTTATGTACAGAGGAGGCAGCAAACCCTCACCCACCAGTGGGGGTATATATTCAACTGATGTCTTTGCACCTCGCAGCGAGCGTATCTGGCTCTGGGCAGCAAACACCAGTCCCGTTCTTGTGTTTCTGTTAATTTACTTTGTTAATTTAATTTACCTTAATTTATTTTGACTCAGTTTGCCCGTTCACGGGTGGGTTTCGTGTCTCTCCATTCCTTCAGTTGCATTCACTGTTTCCCCTTTTACGTTGCGTTTCGCCATGTGTTTTCTTTTCTTTTAATCCATTTCCCCCCCCCCCCCACTCATTCTCCTTTCTGTTGTCCCATTTTATCCCCCCGCCATTCAGGCTCTAGAGGAAGAGATAGAGAGCCACGCTGCCGACGTGTCTCGAGCGCTCGGCGTGGGGCAGTCCCTCTCCTCCCTGAGCTGTGCCGCCGAGCGCAGGCTGCTGGCAGAGAAGCTGGACGCTCTGCAGGGCCGCTACGGCGAGGTCCACGAGCGGTGCTGCCGAAAGGCAGCGCTGCTGGACCAGGCGCTGTCTAACGCCAGGCTTTTTGGGGAGGAGGAGGTGGAAGTGCTCAACTGGCTGGCTGAGGTCGAGGACAAGCTCAGCTCGGTATCCGTAAAGGATTACAAACGGGACGTCCTGCAGAAGCAGCACGCCGACCAGCTGGTATTTTCCGTTTTCCTTCCATGTTTATGTTGTTTATTTTGTTGCGTTTATCTGGTTTGAGTTTTGTTTCTGCTTTGAGTTGTTTTGTTTCTGCTTTGAGTTGTTTCGTTTCTGGCCCCACTTTGAATTGTGCAAAGCTCGCTCCGCTGCTGGTGCTCTTCTGGGCTTGGGAGAAGCACAAAGAGACTTCGTGTGTTTCAAAACAATAATTGTGGGCCCCAAAAATGGGTTTTCCCGGACAGTGGGTGGGAACTTCAAGTGGTTCATTTGCTGTGTGAACAATGTCTGAGCGAGCTTGGCCACCCCGTGCCTTTAGAAAGCTGGATGCTGTTTCCAAGAAGGAGAGGTTGAAAAGCTCGGTGGGATTTCCAAGCCAGGCCACCGAGGAAGCCGTCTGCTTCCCCTCCCCGGGGCCGTGCAGGCTCTTTTCAAGAGTGAGGTTATGTCTGCCACAGAGCGAGTTCTTCAGTAACACACATCCAATGGGTTGGGATGGGTTTGTCAAAGATTTTGGGTCCCAGAAGTCCCATTAAGCCCCATAGCAGGAGAAGGTTGACTGGACAAGGATCAGATCTGTTGTCCACCCTTCTCATGCTTGATAGGAGCAGTTGGTGCTCTGTGGAGCATCCCGGGTGGGCAGGAGCTGGGGATCTGCCCACAGAAGGATAACTCCAGTTTGCTTTTCTGTGCAGGCTTTGAATGAGGAAATTGTGAACAGGAAGAAGAACGTGGACCAAGCCATCAGAAACGGGCAGGCTCTTCTGAAGCAAACCACAGGTAACGCGAAGATCTGGGCGTGCTGTGGTCAATGCTGGGGGTGTGGGAAGGCCCCATCCTCCGCATCATCTTCCCTGGGAAGTCCATGCTGCTCAGCGCTGCGTTGTTTGGGGGAGGCTGCTCTCCTTCAGGTCTAATTTCATTTTGGGTAATCCCAAAGTAGCTGTTACGCATCCAGATCTGGATGCTGAGCCGCAACCACTCCAGCTCAGTAAATCCCAAAAACCAACCTCGCAGCCTCGTGAGCGGGTGATTCCCAGCACCGTGGCGGTGACGCTCGGCGCCGAGCAGCCCTGCGACGCGAGGGAGGGTTTTCTCATTGCATCCAGCTGCTAAATCACATGGAAAGAGGTTAAAAATACACCCAGCCCTTGCCTAATATCGCTTTCCCATACCGAGCAGTTGGTGCTGTTGCCACGTGGGTGTGAGTTTATGTTTGTGAGTGGGAAGAAAGGTCAGGGCGATGCATTTCCTTCAGATGTGGTCTGCTCGGAGCAGATGTACGGCCCCGTGTCCTTGCGGGAGCCGTGCAGCAGGAAAAGTGATTACAAAGAGTTTGGCTTGCAGTTTCTTGTCTCTTGGAAATGGCAGTAGAGAGGGAGCCGGACCTTTTCTCATGGAGCTGTGACACGTTGGGGAACTGCCTTGTGGTGGCTTTGGGGCTTGTGGAAAAGCCAAGCGTTGCGGCACGCTCCCATCCTGCTCCAGGGAGAAAATAGACTGAAATAGCTATTTAAAATAGGGGAAAACAGGGCAGGTGGCTCCTGCAGCTCCCCCCCAGCCCAGCATCACTTGCCCCTCGGTGCTCTCCTGCAGGGGAGGAGGTGCTGCTGATCCAGGAGAAGCTGGACGGGATCAAGACCCGCTACTCGGACATCACCGCCGCCAGCTCCAAGGCGCTGCGCACGCTGGAGCAGGCTCGGCAGTTGGCCACCAAATTCCAGTCCACGCACGAGGAGCTCGCCGGCTGGATGAGCAAAGTGGAGGAGGAGCTGGCGTCCAGCGGGGGCCAGTCCCCCAGCGGCGAACACATCCCCCAGTTCCAGCAGAGGCAAAAGGTGAGGCTGGCAGAGCAGCGCTCGGGGACACGGGGACACCAGGGTGGGATCCAGCGGGGGGTTTGCTCGCTGTCTGGGGAGGAGCTGGAGCAGGACATCACCTGCAGAGCGCTGAGGAGGACACGTGTGCATGGCTGCCTTCCACAGGAGCTGAAGAAGGAGGTGATGGAGCACAGGCTGGTGCTGGATACGGTGAACGAGGTGAGCCGAGCGCTCCTGGAGCTGGTGCCCTGGCGAGCCCGCGAGGGGCTGGACAAGCTGGTGTCGGACACCAACGAGCGGTACAAGCTGGTCAGCGACACCGTCAAGCAGAGGGTGGAAGAAATCGATGCTGCTATTCAGAGGTCTCAGCAGGTAATTCAGTAACTGCTGGGTTTTCTTGGGAGAGTGGGAGTGAGCAGCTCCAGCCCACCCAGCACAATGGCAAAAGAGCCAAATCCCATCAGGAACCCCCGGAAAGGAACAGGCCCCACCAGTGGCGTGTGGCAGCGGGACTGGTTTTGGCCCCGTCCCATTGCGTGTGGTTTGGGTGGGATGACTCCAGGGCAGCGCCGTGTTATCCCGCCTGGAGGCTTTTGCTTGCGTGGGTGATGCAAATGGTGTCAAACTGATAAGAGGTGACTTTCAGGGCTGGAAAATTGTCACTCCCTGTTGTGATAGCACGGGAGTTTGTTCAGTCTTCTCAAATAGGGCTTGTTCTGGAGGCTGTGGAGTGCTGGGAGTAACTGCCCTTGCTGGCCTTGGGTGCTGACTCCACAAAGCTGAACGTGTGAGCAAAACCATCGTGTAAAATAGAGGTGTCCCTTTCCCTGTGGGCAAGGAGGGTGTAAAGAGAGGTGGCTGCTCCACCGTGCCCTGCTGCAGTGATGCTTCATGTCCCAAAACCACCCTCAGGAGCCACTGGTGTGGGTCAGTGGCTCAAAGTCACAGAATCACAGAATCCCAGAATGTCAGGGACTGGAAGGGACCTCCAAAGCTCACCCAGTCCAATCCCCCTGCCGGATCATGAACACCAGATGAGGTTACACAGGAAGGCGTCCAGGCGGGTTTTGAATGTCTGCAGAGAAGGAGACTCCACAACCTCTCTGGGCAGCCTGGGCCAGGGCTCTGTCACCCTCACTGAGAAGAAGTTTCTTCTCAAATTGAAGTGGAACCTCCTGTGTTCCAGTTTGTGTCCGTTACCCCTTGTCCTATCATTGTTTGTCACTGAGAAGAGCCTGGCTCCATCCTCGTGACACTCACCCTTTAAATATTTATAAACATGAATGAGGTCCAAAACCTGTGTCCACCCCAATGTCCCCTTCTCTTTCCTGACTGTGCCCCTGTGTCCCACTGGGTCCCCACACATCTCCTGGTCTATGCTGCCCATCACTGACCTGTGCTGCTGTCCCCTCCCCTGTCCCAGTACGAGCAGGCGGCCGATGCAGAGCTGGCCTGGGTGGCCGAGACCAAGCGGAAGCTGATGGCGCTGGGTCCCATCCGCCTGGAACAGGACCAGACGACGGCTCAGCTGCAGGTGCAGAAGGTCCGTGCGTGCTCACTGATGGGATGGGCGGCAAGGAGGGATGGGGTTTGGGTGCTGGGATGGGGTTTGGGCTCTGGGATGGGGTTTGGGTGCTGAGATATGGAGTTTGGGCGCTGGGACAGGGCTTGGGTGCTGGGATAGGGTTTGGGCTCTGGAATGGGGTTTGGGCGCTGGTACGGGGTTTGGGGGGCACAGCATCACCCTGGAGAGGCTTCTGGGCTTTGTAGGGCTGAGTCCAGAGAGATACAACGCTTGTCCTTGGTAAGGGAAAGTCAGAAATGAGGGAGAAAAAGGATTTAGAGGAATGAAGTGTTGGGTTTCTAAAGGAAAAAGCTTCCTGTCCATTTGCACGGCCATACAGGGCTTTGCATGGCCATTTACCTCTTGCCTGGCCCCTCCTTGAGCTGCTCCATCCCAAGGCTTTGCTGCTGGGTCTCGCAGGCGGTGGCAGCGTTTAGAGGGTTTCGAGCAATGTATATATTGATTAATGAGGGTGCTTTTCCATTTGCCTTTTGCTCATTGTTCCTTGCGGTGGGGGACTCTTGGTTTCCCTCCCAGCAGCCAGACGTGAACAAAGGGACGCTGGGCTTTGGGTTTTTTTTATATCTTTGAGATGAGCTCATGCCTGAAAGAACGTGCACTTTAAATAAACGGCCCTTTTCTTCTCTTACCAGCCTTGGCAATCAGAGCAGCGCACAGGCTTATTGGGTTTTTTTTTAAAATCAAAAGGAAAATAAGATGTTGTTATAAAGGAGGGGGACTGAACCGTCGAGCATTAAGTTAAATTGAGCTCAGCTTGGCTTCCCGCTGGTAATCGCGTGGACCTTGGGAATGGCAAAGTTATTGGTAGATGCAGTTCTGGAGAGCATCGTTTTGGGGTCTTAACGCTAACGCATGGGTGCTGGAGCTGTGCCCCCGGTGAGGACCCCGGCTGTGGAAGTTGACTGATGCCTCATTTTGAGAGCTCATTTGAAACAGAGAGGTCGATGGAGATGAGTCATGAGAAAAACATGCCGAAATCTGCCTTTTCAGCCAGGTTTTCAGCTGCCGCAGGACACCCGTGCTGAGTTTTGCGCGGTCTCTGCTGGCGCAGACAGGAGGGGATCTTGTGGATGCAGAGGTTGGGCTCGGCTCTGATTTCTCTCCCCTTTATTTTTTTGGACACATCCTTTCACCAGGCTTTCTCCATCGACATAATTCGGCACAAGGACTCGATGGATGAGCTGTTCAGCCAGCGCAACGAGATCTTCGGGACCTGCGGGGAGGAGCAAAAAGCCGTTCTCCAGGTGAGCCTCCCGCTGCTATTTACTGCAGTGGGGGAGACCGAGACACAGGAGATGAATTCTCAGCTCTGGCACAGCCTGAAGTAGTTTCAAATTACCCCATCTTTAGTAATTCCCACCAGCGCGAGCAGAAATCTCTTCACATTTATTACTCTCCGTTATTGCTTATTTTTATTGCGGTGTTTGGGGACGGGGTGGGGATAGCAAAGATTTCCGAGGCTGCTTTAATTGGAATTACAGCTTGCGTGCGTGGAAGGCCACCAAAGGCACCTCCTGCTCTTCCTGGGCCCTTTTGCATCCCTCGCTATAACTTTGCTCCCGCTTTATTGTAGGAGAAAACCGAGTCCCTGGTGCAGCAGTACGAAGCCGTCAGCCAGCTCAACTCGGAGCGCTACGCTCGCTTGGAGCGCGCCCAGGTCCTGGTCAACCAATTCTGGGAGACCTACGAGGAGCTGAACCCGTGGATCGAGGAGACGCAAACCCTCCTGGCCCAGCTGCCGCCGCCGGCCATCGACCACGAGCAGCTCAAGCAGCAGCAGGAGGACATGAGGGTAGGAGGAGGTGGCGTCTGCACCTCCCGCGCCATCGGTTTTTCTACCTTAAATGGAGTCACAGCGCTCGTGGGGGCAAAAGTGCCTTTCTTCTGATTTTTTTTTCCTGAAATTTTCTGAATTTTCTGATTTTTCTGAAATTTTTTCTGATTTTTAATGATTTTTTTCAGATTTTCTCTGATTTTCTTCTGAATTTTTCCAAATTTCTCTGTATTTTTTCTGATTTTTTCCCCCTGAAATTTTCTTTTTTTTTTCTTTTTTTTTTTTTCTGGATATTTCCAATTTTTCCCCCAAATTTTTGTGATTTTTTAAATTATTTTTGTGATCTTTTTTCCCCAAAATTTTTCTGATTTTTTCTGATTTTTCTGATTTTTCTTACTTTTTCTGATTTTTTTTCTGAATTTTTCTGGTTCTTTCCTGATTTTTTTTTCTCATTTTTTCTGATTTTTTTCCTGTTTTCTCCTGTTTTTTCCTGTTTTTTTTTCTGATTTTTTCCTGATTTTTTCCCTAATTTTTTAATGACTTTTCTTTTCCTGATTTTTTCTGTTTTTCCCTGTTTTTTTCTTACTTTTCCTGGTTTTTTTCCTGATTTTTTCCTGATTTTTCCCCCATTCTCTTCTTTCTGGCACTCCTGCCTATGCAGTACTTGTGCCCCATGTGGAAATCACTAGTTACGATGGAGCGCTTCTGACTGAAATACAGATTGCACCCAAGGGAGCCTGGCTGCCTGGGGATCTCCTGCTTGTGGCAGGGCAAAGCGCTTTGTGCTTTTAGGGTAGAGAGCTGCAAAGTGGTGAGGCTGTGGGGAGAGTCAGGAGCTGGCTCTGGCCATGTTAGGAAGAGCCGGGTGCCATGTGCTTGGCAGATGCTGGGTCAAGAAATCCACGGTGGGAATTCCCCACCAGATACGATCGCTGCTCTTGGAGTGGTGCATGAAGTGAATAGGCAGCATGAAATAAATGGGCAGCATGAAATAAATAGGCAGCTTTCAATAGATTTCTAAACAAATGTCTCTTCCCCACCCCCCCTCCCCATTCCCTAGCAACTGCGAGAGTCCATCGCTGAGCACAAGCCTCACATCGACAAGCTGCTGAAAATCGGGCCGCAGCTCAAGGACCTCAACCCCGAGGAAGGGGAGATGGTGCAGAACAAATACGCGACGGCGGAGGCCATGTACGCCAAAATCAAGGAGGAGGTGTGCCAGCGGGCTCTGGCGCTCGACGAGGCCGTCTCGCAGTCCACCCAGGTACGCTGGGGAGCAGTTTTCTTACCGTGGTCCCCTGGGGAAGCCACGTGCTTTGAAATGCGGTTTTATCCCGAGTTTAACGGTTGTAAAAGCCTTTATAAGCCACAGCGTGGTCAGACACCTCCGGGGTAGTTTCCTGCCGGCTGTGAAAGGAGTGGTGAAGGCGTTTGAGTCCTGACAGAGTAAATAGGGCCATAAATTTTTACAGCCTCAATAAGGATGCTCGTTGGAAGGGGCTGTTTTGGCATCCACCCAGGGTTGGGAGGGCCCATAGAGCCTCTTGAAAGAGCCTGGAGAGATAAGGTTCATTTCTGATAAGCCACATGGGATCATTGTATGGAAGAGTTAACGGTGGTCACCGGGGTCTGGGCATCTCCAGGAGCAGAGATAGGGCAGGGAGAGCAGGGACTGCAGGTGCTAATGTCCTAAAAGGGGTGAAGAGGTTTTGCCGTGGAGGGTTTCTGACCCCCGGGTTCGTTTCATTTCACCCGTGTTACCGTAGCGCAGTCGGTTGTCGTCACGTCTGGGCGTTTATTCCTGTATTGTGTAGTCACTTCTCTTGGTTTGCACTTGTATTAACTCCGAGTTTTTCCCCCCACGCCCCCGTCCCGTCTCATCTCTCACTCCCCTTGTGGAATGTGTTATCTGTGTGTGTTGCTGCCTGTGCCCGTCCTCCCCACATGGTCCCATTTCATTCTTGTGTTGACTGCGCCCCACCATTGCAGATTACGGAGGTAAGCCCCACCACCACCGATCTTCATTTTTTTGGCTGATTCTACTTTACCCCCGGACTTTTATTTCTGATCCGTGCGCAGCTCAGCAGAAAACGCTTACAAATTAACTCAGAAGCTCCTGTTTTGGAGATGGCTTTCGTTGCGTTGCCGCCTGGGCTCAGCCGTGGGCAGCTTCTGCTGAGAACTCTTCCTGCAAAGCCAAGGTTGTGCTTGGGATGCGCGGAGCCATCTGCTCTGGCTGGGTTTGCCCGTTTGCTCCTGCTTTTTGGCCGAGCCAGCGCTCTCCTGAGCAACTTTGCCCCGAGAGCCCCTCTCCTCTCTGCTGCTGGAGCCTGGGCACCAGCGCTGGTGTCCTGCAGAGCAGCCCCCGAGCTGGCACCAGAGCACAGAGCTGTCCTCCTCACCAGCAGAGATGGTTTGGGTTCATGAGGGGCCAAAGTTGACTTTTCTCTTGACAAAAATATAGTCATAAACCCTGCTAGAACCCCCTTCCTCTCACTCTTGGCTTTCTTTGGCTTTTGTGGAAGCCCCGGCTCCGTGGCACCACACTCCTCCCCGTGCGCATGCAGCCTCGCACCATCTCCCGCTGCCCGTGCCGGGGTGGTTTTGCTGCCGTTGCACCGAGCGGAGATGTCCACCACCACCAAACACGGGCGCTTTTCCAGCAGCGTCTTTGCACGGATGCTCAAACCACCAGAACTGGGTTTTCTTGCCCAAGAAGGGGACCAGCAGGCAAAAATGTGCGTTTTATAGGGTCGAATCTGGTGACAAATCGCTGCCGTGTTTGGTTCGCGGTTGCCGGTGCCGGCGCTGCGTGGCTGACGTCTGCTTTGAGGCGGTGCAGCCTGGGGCTGTTGGCAGCGGAGGAAAGCGGAGGCAGGCGTGAGCGGGCGGCTGCAGGTTCCATTGCCATTGCAGGCAATGTTTGTCCTCTCCGAGGGGCCTCTGGGTGCAGCGTTGCTTCATCTCATCCCACTTTCCCTAACGGACTTGCTTCTCTCCAGTTCCACGACAAGATCGAGCCCATGCTGGAGACACTGGAGAGCCTCTCATCCCGCCTGCGCCTGCCGCCCCTCATCCCCGCCGAGGTGGAGAAGATCCGGGAGTGCATCAGCGAGAACAAGAACTCCACGGTGGAGCTGGAGAAGCTGCAGCCCTCCTTCGAGGCTCTGAAACGCCGCGGGGAGGAGCTGATCGGGCGATCGCAGGGAGCGGACAAGGACCTGGCAGCGAAAGGTATCTCGGGGTGGATTTAGCAGGAGGTGCTGCTTGGGTTGGTAGCGTTGCACAGCTTCTCCCTCCCAAGCCATGGCTCCACCACCATGGGGGAGACTTGGATGGCCATGGAGTAGACTTTGGTGGCTATGGGGTGGACATTGATGGCCATAAGACTTTGATGGCCACGGGGTTTTTTTTCTGGATATTTCCGGGAAGACTTTGATGGCCATAGGGGAAGACTTTATTGGCCATAGGGATCAATTTTGATGACCATAGGGGTCAGCTTTGGTGGGCATGGGGTGGACTTTGATGGGCATGGGGTGGACTTTGGTGGCCACGGGGTGGACTTTGATGGCCACAAGGCTTAGATGGCCATGGGGTGGACTTTGATAGCCATGGGATGGACTTTGATGGCCATCGGGGAAGACTTTATTGGCCATAGGGGTCAATTTTGATGACCATAGGGGTCAACTCTGGTGGGCATGGGGAGACTTTGATGGCCATGGGGTGGACTTTGATGGCCACGGGGTGGACTTTGATGGCCACAAGGCTTTGATGGCCATAGGGATAGACTTGGATGGCCATGGAGTAGAGTTTGATTGCCATAAGATTTTGATGGCTCTGGGGGTCAACTTTGATGGCCACGGGGTAGACTTTGATGGCCATGGGGGTCAACTTTGATGGCCCAAGGGTGTATTTCCAAGGCTCTTCTGGCCCTAGGAGGAAGGATTCGCCCTCTGCCCGCAGATATCTGGTGCTTGCACGGTGGTAGGAGCCAGAGAAAGAAGCATTTGTGGTTGCTCAGGCAGAGATTTGAGCTCAGCCGAGCTGAGGCGTCACCCTGAGCTGCTCTCTTGTGGCAGCCATCGGTGGCCCCTGTGAAATGATTTGTTGGTGTCAATTCAGCATCTAATGGAGGGAAGGAGCATCCCCAGCACAAAAAGACCCATCAGTGCGATGGGCACTAATTGGCACCTTCCTTGGCAGCTCCACAGCCAGCTCATGGCCTGAGCGAGCGGAGACTTCACGCTAGAGGTGGCCAGAACAGAGCTTTGCTGGAAGAGAGTGTGTGGGCAAATTTGCCCCGAGCTTGCCTGCACATAAATAAAGGCTTTTTTTATGCAAGCTGGAGTTTCTCATGTCCCTCAGCATGTCAGAGTGAATGCTCTGATGGTCCTGGTCATCTTTCATTCCCGTTTGAACATTCTGTTGGCTCTTTTGAAGTGGAAAGCGTTTGCGAAATGCTTTAGAGTTGTAGAAAGGTTTCCTTCTTCACCAAGCGTTTCCATTCCCTGCCCCAGTAATCCAGGATAAGTTGGATCAGATGGTCTTCTTCTGGGAAGACATCAAAGCTCGGGCGGAGGAGAGGGAAATGAAGTTCCTCGACGTCCTGGAGCTTGCGGAGAAGTTCTGGTACGATATGGCCGCCCTCCTGACCACCATCAGAGACACGCAGGACATCGTGCACGACCTGGAGAGCCCAGGCATCGACCCCTCCATCATCAAGCAGCAGGTGGAAGCGGCAGAGGTGAGGCCCAGGGGGTTGTACCCCTCTATGGGACCAAATTGGGGTAGATCTTAGAGACCAGCAGTGGCTGTAAAACAGCGTTGTAGGCAGGCACTATGGATTATGAAATGTGATTTCCATTGCAATCTGGAGCTGCAAGGCAAAAAGCAGACGTGTATTTCATATATCCCTCCCCACCGCCGCTGCCCCCTGTTCCAGGCAAGGAAATGATGCTTAAATCACTTTATCTGCTGCTGTTTTGGGAGGCTCATCGGGCGTGTGGTCAGGTTTGTGCCTGCTTGTTTTGATGTGGTTGTTTGCACGGTTCTGCTCCCAGTCTGAGGCGAAGGCATCCGAGCGCTGCCTGGCGTGGGAAGGGAACATTGAGGTTTGGATTAGACCGGGGGTAGCTGTGACGCTGGGATGGGCTGGGATTTGTGTGGTGGCGTTTGGTTGGTTCAGATAAGTGGTGAAATCCACTTCGGGTGGATTTGACTTCACTTGGGCCTTGGGGAGCAGGGAGGTTTCTTTACTCTTGGCTAACTTTGTCCCTTTTATAACCGGTTTGACTTTGGTTTGCAACTTTTGACTCCTGTATTGACAAAAGGCTCCTGCAAACAGCACGCCTCTTGTAAACAGCATCCTCAGCCAGGCAGTTCAGCTAAATACAGACACCCCTATTTTAGCTCCCCCAAGCCCTGCACCCAGCAGCATTTAATAATAAACACTTTCCTGTCGTCACTGCTCTATCAGACGATTAAGGAGGAGACGGATGGCTTGCACGAAGAGCTGGAGTTCATCCGACTCCTCGGAACCGATTTGATTTTTGCCTGTGGCGAAACGGAGAAACCAGAAGTGAAGAAGAGCATCGATGAGGTAGGGGAACCAGCGCCGGCTCCTGCACATCAGATCAGATCAGATCAGGTAGCAGCAAGGGATGGGAGAGCCTTGACGGATTTTGTGGATGATCTTGTGTCACGCAGATGAACAACGCGTGGGAAAACCTCAACAAAACGTGGAAGGAGAGGCTCGAGAAGCTGGAGGAAGCCATGCAGTCAGCTGTGCAATACCAGGACACGCTGCAAGTAAGAGGCAGGGCTGTTGCTGTGGGGTGGGCAGACCTTGGGAACGCCACTGCGAGTCCTCCCACTGGAGCCGTACTGGGATTTGCGGTGGTGCGAAGCAGGGAGGTGTCTCCTGAGTGGGTGTTTGTGGGCGCTGTAAGAGCCTGAGCTCAACAACCAGCTCCAAGGACGAGCAGACTGCGTTTGTCTTCCCAAATCTCTTAATTTCTGCCCGTAGCAGCAGTTTTGGGGTGATGGAGGCACCAGCCTCATGTCCCCAGGCAGCTGCAGGGGACCACGCTTTGCCTTTCCCTTCACTAACGGTGTCCGTGCTCCTTCCAGGCCATGTTTGACTGGTTGGACAACGCCGTCATCAAGCTCTGCAACATGTCTCCTGTGGGCACCGACCTCAACACGGTTAAGGAGCAGATGAACGAGATGAAGGTACACGGCTGGGACGGGGCCGGTTCTGCGGTGCTCGCTTTGCCTTGCTCCGGTGATTCATTTTGTTCTGGTTTTTGTCCTGCTTGTTTTGGCAGGAGTTTAAAATGGAGGTTTACCAGCAGCAGATTGAGATGGAAAAGCTTAATCACCAAGGTGAACTGATGCTAAAAAAAGCCACGGATGAGACAGACCGAGACATCATAAAGGAACCACTGACAGAGCTGAAACATCTCTGGGAGAATTTGGGCGAGAAAATCGCGTACAGACAGGTAGAGAGAAGAGCTGGGCTCTCGCGGGTGCGAGGTTGAAGGTCACTGGGATGTTTCCCCTCCTTCCCAACTTAAACTCTCCTTTTCCGTCCCCGTCCGTGCCCAGCACAAGCTGGAAGCCGCTCTCCTGGCCCTCGGGCAGTTCCAGCACGCGTTGGCCGAGCTGATGGCCTGGCTGACCCACACCGAGGAGCTGCTCGACGCCCAAAAACCCATCAACGGGGACCCAAAAGTCATCGAGGTCGAACTCGCCAAGCACCACGTGAGTACTCGCGCTCCAGGGCCATTTTTGGTCTAATCCCATTGTGGGATTTCCTTTCTCATGAAGGTTTTGAGTTGATTTGAGTTCATGAGAGCGTGCAGGAATGAATAAGGTGGTAATTTGGAGAAGTATCCAACGTTTGCCCACCCCCATCCTGTGTAGGTGCTGAAGAACGATGTCCTGGCCCACCAAGCGACTGTGGAGACGGTGAACAAGGCGGGCAATGAGTTGCTGGAGTCCAGCGCCGGGGACGACGCCAGCAGCCTGCGAAACCGCCTGGAGAAGCTGAACTCGTGCTGGGAATCGGTGCTGCAGAAGACGGAGGAGAGGGAGCAGCAGCTGCAGTCCACACTGCAGCAGGTCAGGGAGATGCCTCGGGGGTCCCTGGGTTGCTGCCGAGGGTCTGCTTCCCGCTTTGCTTCCAGTGGGGATGGAGATAGGGAGACACTGGGATGTTTAATGCAATATTTCATTTAACCCCATGGACGCTACAGGCTTGGGGATGACAGGAACTGCTTGGAAGAGTCCAGCAGGGGCACAAAGATGATGGAGGGAGTGAAGCATCTCCTGATGAGGAGCGGCTGAGGGGGGAACCTGATAGACAGGATAATATAAGAGATTCTTA